TGCTGGGCTGAACTGTTCTCAAAACAATCCAAAGTAAGGGCCACTGATGGAAATATTTCTGATATTCTTCAGTCATAACGCACCAGAGTGCTGTGTTTGGTTCAGATCACCTTGCCTGTGCTTTAGAGGTATTAATTAAGCTTCAGTCTATGGTTTGCTAAGCACTCTGAGCTCTCCTGGCCTCTCTCATCCTAAAATCTCAGAATAATCACCCCTGTTTAGTTGCACATATGTTTAAGTAACATTACAAATAACATTTCATTGCACACCCATTAAAAATAAACACACTGGAAATAGCAGAGATTAAGGAGACACGGTCTCTTCGGCTGTCTCAGGAGCAGCTATGAAATCTCTGAAAACCACACATAATGTTGCCCTCTGTGGATCTTTCAGACTAAAAGGAGCAGGAGGAGCAGAATATTAATAACATAAAAAGATGATCCAAGAATTTATTTAGCAATGAAAACATGAAAAATTCTAGAGAAATTATGTGAGAAACCATTCTTACTTTTCAAGAAGTACACTGTATTTTCTCTCACTGTTGTAGAAGCAAAGCCACCAAGTGTATTTTCAAGAAAATATTTAAATAAAATTGATGAAGTGTCAACACTTGACTGCTTGTTTAAATTGGATAAAATTATAAAAGCTGTTCAATTTGTTTCAATGTTATTATATACAATAAAGGTTTATTCAAGCAGGGAGAATACTGCAGACAAGGTGTGAAGATTACATGATGTCTTAGACGTCTCCCCGGTACAGTACAAAATACAACCTAAATCATCCAAAATTCTTTTACTGAAGCTAATTTCTTCTCACTGGGGCTTGATGGGGAAAAAAAGAATCAGTGTTCCTTTATGCTGCAAGAACATTGCTATTTGCTTAACAGGAAGTTAAATGAACCAAAGCTTCAGCAAAAAACCCCCACTATCAATTAATGTGACAAATTTTTAATAGGAAAGCAAATCAGATTTATTTAAAAACTGAGGTCTTGGTTCTGGTGTATTCAAATTTTCCCAAGGCTGAGCTTATAGTTTATATTTTTCACAGTTTATGCTTTCTGAGGAGTACAGATGTCTGTGGGAGACAGCTTCCATTCCTGCACTGCTCCTGATGAGTGTACTTTACACGTGTAGCCCAATGACTAATCAAGAGGACCATGGCAAGCTGTAGCTGTTTATGCTCCAGGTGCACCATAGCTGATGAGATATGGTGTACAAGGGCCCAATATACACTGCCATCACAAGTACCACTCACATTATCAATTGAAAACAAGGCATTTGAATGTTAAATTTTTCTCTCTTCTATTATCAGTTACACTCAGATGGGAAGCAAAATGAAAGTACCTGAGGACCATCTGTAATGCTCCCAACACCTTACCTAGAAAATAATTCTGATACCCTTGCATTTTCTAAACACGGGCTGAGTGGTGAGTTCTTATCAGAGTATCACAGAATCACAGAAATATGCTGAGTTGCAAGGATCATCGAGTCCAACCCTTAGCCCTGCACAGGACCATCCCCAAGAGTCACACCATGTGCCTGAGAGTATCATCCAAATGCTTCTTGAACTCTCTCAGGCTTGATGCTGTGACCACTTCCCTGGGGAGCCTGTTCCAGTACCCAAATACCTTCTGGGTGGAAAACCTTTTTCTAATATCCGACCTAAACCTCCCCTGACACAACTTCAGGCCATTCCCTCAGGTCCTGTCACTGGTCACCACAGAGAAGAGATCAGTGCCTGCCCCTCTTCTTCCCCTCCCAAGGAAGTTGTAACTGCAATGAGGTCTCCCCTCAGTCTCCTCTTCTTCAGGCTGAACAGACCAAGTGACCTCAGTTGCTCCTCATACAGCTTCCTCTCAAGGCCCTTCACCATCTTTGTTGCTCTCCTTTGGACACTCTAATGGCTTAATATCTTTCTTATATTGCAGTGCCCAAAACTGCACACAATATGCAAGGTGAGGCTGCACCAGTGCAGAGCACAGTGGGACAATCCCCTCCCTGGACAAGCTGGCAATGTTTTGCCTGATGCCCCCCAGGACATGGTTGGCCCTCCTGGCTGCCAGGGCACTGCTGACTCATATTCAGCTTGCCATCGACCAGGATCCCCAGGTCCCTTTACAGTGCTGTTTTCCAGCATCTCATTCCCCAGTCTGTCTGTGCATTCAGGGTTGCCCCATCCCAGGTGCAGAATCTGGCACTTTCCCTTCTTGAACTTCATATGGTTGGTGATTGCCCAGTCCTCTAACTTGTTGAGGTCTCCCTGCAGGGTCTCTTGAGGGAGTTAACAGCTCCTCCCAGTTTTGTGTCATCTGCAAACTTGCTTAGTATCCCTTTCAGTCTTGTGTCCAAGTAATTTATGAAGATGTTGAAGATCACAGAGCCCAAGATGGAGCCCTGTGGAACCCTCCTAGCAACAGGTCATCAGCCTGATGTTCCCCCATTCACTATTACCCTCTGTGCTTGACCTGTGAGATGACTGCTCACCCACTACATGATGTGTTTATCCAGCTGTGCTGGGTATTTTGTCCAGAAGGATCCTGTGAGAGACAGTATCGAAAGCTTTACTGAAATCCAAAAGATTACATCAACTGGCTTCCCTTGATCTACCAGGTGGGTTACCTTGTCGTAAAAGGAAATGAGGTTTGATAAGCAAGACTTTCCTCTCATGAAGCCATGCTGGTTGTGACCAAGAACAGCATTGTCTTTCAGGTGTTTTTCAATACTTCCCAGAATAATCTTCTCCATAACTTTATCAGGCACTGAAGTGAGACTGATGGGTCTGTAGTTTCCAGGGTCCTCCTTCTTGCCCTTCTTGAAAATTGGGACAACGTTCACCAGCTTCCAGTCAGTTGGTAGCATTCTGGATTCCCAAGACTGCTCAAAAATCATTGAGAGAGGTTTTGTGATGACATCAGCCAGCTCTTTGAGGATTCTGGGATGAATCCCATCAGGCCCCAGATCCAGCTGGAGCAGCAGGTCCCACACAATTTCAAGGTCAACTGGGAGTTCATCATTCTCACAGTCATGGTCCTCCAGCTGAGGGCACTGAGACCTCCTTGGTCCGTCATCCATTTTGAAGATAGAGGCAAAGAAAGTGTTAAACACCTCTGCCTTGTCTCTGTCCCTGTTTGTGAGGTGACCATCTTCATTCTGTAATGGGCTGATGATATTTCTATACTGCTTGTTGCCATTAATATATTTGAAAAAGCTCTTTTTATTATCTCCCGTATTTCTGGCATCTTCAACTCCAGCTGAGTTTTAGTTGCATGTATTTTCTCCATACAGTGGCAAGTAGCATCTCTGAATTCTTCCCATGTCACTTGACCTTGCTTCCACTGGACATATACCTTCCTTTTTTGCCTTATTTCCAAGAGAAGATCCCTGTTCAGCCAAGCTGGCCTTCTGCCTTGCCGTCCTTCTGCCTTGCCTGCTTGACTTACGACATTTGGGCATTATCTGCCCCTGTGCCCTTAGCAGGTGATGTTTTAAAAGCGACCTGCACTGATAGACCCCAGCACCTTCAAAAGCATTTTCCCAGGGGACCTTACTTACTAATTCCCTGAGCAACCTGAATTCTGCTCTCCTCATGTCCAGGGTTGAAGTGCCAACTTCTCCTGTCAACAGAGATTTCAAACACAATCACTTCATGGTTGCTGTGGCCAAGACAGCCACCAATCTCCACGTCACTCACAAGATCGTCTCTGTTGACAAGTAGCAAATCAAGGAGGGCATCTTTCTGAGTCAGTTCCCTCAGGACCCTTAGGTCTGAAACTCTGGACCAGCAAAGGCTTTTCTAGGGTGTGGAGGATAATGCATGGCTACAGCCTCTCAGCAGTGCTTAAGGTCTCTAAAAACAACTCAGCACACCATTGTCACAGCTGAATGACATTGCACTTAGCAGCTTCCACCTCGCCTAGAAAGCAGTGCACCAGCTGAAGATAAATCCCTAGCTGTTTAACAATATCCATTCATCCATACTTCTTGCCCAGCATAGATATTTTGGTTTGAAAATTAGGAATCCATATGTTTTTCAAGGCAGTCAACTTTATGGTATCTCTGTACACCCTGAGTGAGAAGAAAAGGGTTCTGACTGTAAATAAAAATAATATATTCTATGATTCGCTGTTTCTTCCACAAGGTAGAAAATAAGGCAGTTAATAAAACATTAAGACATTCTAATCATATAGTAGCAAGTCGTAAAACTACCATGAGAAATGTGCCAGCTTACTTCAGTCATAAAACACAGGAGAAAAAGAACCTTAAAATTTTAAAACTGACCATAATTTTTTTAATATCATGGTTATGAAACCTTTCTACCATTATTCAAATGTAAATTCACTAAGGTTTCACCCAGGCTGGCCTCCAGTTGGAATTCTTGTGTTTTGAAAGCCTCTGTGCTAGTGTGGGGTCTCATGCACGGGAGTGCTGCCAGTGGTGGATCTCTCTCACAGCTTACAAGGTTCTTTGCCAAAAAGCTGCTCCTCGCTCGGGCCAGATACAGTCCTCCAAATAAACCCCTAAACCACTTCAAACTTTTATGAATTTTATCCCTTTATCAGACCTTAATAACCCATAACCTTTCAAATGTCATGTCTCAAAAACTTTGTTTCTCCAGCATATAAAACAGAGAGAAAAAGCCCCATATTTCAGAGTGAAAATAATAATAATTAAAAAAATATTTCTTCTGCATTGGAGAATTCCCCTCTGCCTTGGTTTACTATTTATAAACCACCAGTCTGGGATTAATTATTATAAATCCTTAAAGCCGAAAAGAAGATTTTAGGCATTTTATTCTACGTATAATCTATACCATTATTAAACTGCAGTTCAAATGCACACTATGTCCTACTTCTGTTGGTCACCTTTTAACATTTATGCATTTTACTTACAGAAGATTTTACTCCCTGGAGAAAGTATTTCTTACTATTTTTAAAACACCAGACCACCCATCTGACATGGCACTGCTTGGGGGGAGCAGTGTCACCTGTAAACCACACTCACCGGGCACCCCGTCTCTCATCCAGTAATCGATGTCTGTTCCATCTGCATTGTCGTAAACATCTGTAGCATTGATGGGCAGCAGCAGAGTCATGATCTCTTTCACGATTTCCCGAGCTTTAGCACTGCCAGTAAAACCCAGTCCAGATGGCTTGAAGGTGCCCTCATCAGACTCCATGACGATATCAAAGTTGGAGATATTTTCCTAAACATGTAAGGAAAGAAGATATTGTGCTGTGGTTGCTATTTTAACTGGCATCATATACCTGATTCTAGGTGTCAGTGTGAGCACACTACAACAAATTTGTTTAAGAAGCAGAGAAATTCTTCCTGTGACCACGTGTATATAAGCATAAATTAAAGGACCTAATCTTTCTGTATGAAAATGCTGAAATAGTTCAAGTTCTGTTCTGAGGCAGCAATATTCTGTAGGAGCCACAACATGTCTGGTCTGCTGTCCCCAGATACTTCCTTTAAGACTTCTGAAGTGTCACCTAGAAAATAAGCCATCACTACCATATTGAAGGTTTCACCTGCAGCTCTCCCTTTCTTCGCAGACCTGAAACTCAGAAATTCTGCTGCAGTGTGGAGGGTATGCAGTCCCGTGGCTTTAAAATTAGACTGCTTAGACTGTGAAGGACATCCTAATTAAAAAGCCAGTTGCTCTCTGTTCAGAAACACATTATCTTCAATATACCATGTAGTCAACTCTGACATCAGCTGGAGGACTGAAATGCCGAGATTCTTCCTGACCTGAAGAAATAATATCTATTTTAAGGGAAGTTTGTGCTTCCAAGGCAAATCATCACAGGAAACATGAAATGTAAGATTTTGGGTACAATCAGAACAGTAACATTTGCGTATAGTGTGCACTTGGAAGAATCTTTCTAGCTAAAAGGACAAAAATTAACATACAGAGCAATTAATTTGCTTCCCACATTTGCTCAGATTGCTCAGTTACAAAGGTTTAATTGGAGTAAAATATGTATGGATTTTATGTGGAGGAAGATCTCACTCCTTTGGAGAAGCACAAAACTTTTTTTCAAAATAAAACATTTTATGGTCATGTCAGGCAGAAAAAAGCTATACTTCAGACCATCTTCAATGTGACTAAGAGAACTTACTGCAGGCGTTACTCTTATGCCTAGATCTCATTCCACAATTTTATGGCTGCCATAGGTTGCTACAAGAAAATCCTTACAAGAGATACATGATAGCAGCAAGTAACAGATCCATTTCATTAACAGCTTACATAAGCCTACAATTCAGCAAAGAATTCTTTAACATTTTCCTGGATATAAACCCAAATATAAACTACAGGTGGCTGTGAATGATTCACCTAAGTTTTAAGAAGTCCTTTATAGAATTTGCCAAGAATTGTGTTTTACACTTTCCCAAAACTTTTCTCTTTTGAGTGAAATAAGTTCTAACATAGCAGAGGAATTTACTTTTACATGAGAAATATATTCAGCAATTAAAAAAATTAGTATAAAATATTTGCATGATGAAGTAACTGTAAATGTTATAATACTTTAAACTCATTCAGCTACTGGAAATCAAAGTGGAAATAACCAATCTTGTCACCAAATTGGCAATCATCATTTTTATACAGTGAAAAAAAAATCTTCAGTTTGAAAAATATTAAATGTAAATAATTAGGTTACATGTGGTTTCTAGGTCTACCATCAAATGATGTATTAATAGGTCATGAGCCTCAATGTGAATCGTGATTCACAGATCCTCTGAACATAGTGGGAGAGAAGCAGGCCAAGAAAAGTACACTGCATGCTAAAAGGGACTGCTGATGCTCCAATGTTACAGATACAACAGAAAGAATGCTTCAAAATATAAATATTCTTTATATCACATGCCCAAGGAGCAAGACTTAGGGAAGACAATACATATTTCAGTGTGCTGCTGAATTGCCAGTGAAAGCTAATGTAAGTATAGTAAGCACTGCATAGATACCATGTTATGGTACTCAGCCTCTTTGTTGAGTCTCCAAAGTTGCACTTCTGCCCATTTTTAGAGAAGGTGAAATGAGGAGGAGCAGCAAGACAAGGGTAAGGAAGTATTTCGGGCAGTGAAGTGAGGAGAAGAGTGAGCTTGGGAACAGAGTGGATACCTAGAAGAAATCTCACCTATCACTCGAAAGAACAGAATCCCTAAGTTCAAAAACTTCATAAACTGCTAGTATCACAGCAGTCTTCCGCTGTGTTTTCTCACATAAATTTTTGCATGTGTTTTTAATATAAAACTGAGTAAACAAACCACCCACAATACATTACATCATATTGTTGTTCTGTAAGAAAGCTGTTCAGTTCTGAGAATGTGCTGGAGAGGCACGAAAACAGGATACCCTAGGGAGAGAAACTGACTTCACTGGGGAACAAAAAAGTAATGGGTCACAACTACTTGAAGTACCATATATCCTTGAGAAAGCTTTTTCCCTATTTAGTCCACTAGAAGATAGGATTACTTATAAAACTATTCACCATCGAGTTTGAAAGTTGCAGTCTTAAAAAAAGATTGGTTTTACTACACCCATTTTTGTACAGCTATATTGGCATTTGTAGTTACACAGAAAGAAATACATACTTGAAAACATGCTACAGTGAAGATGCTTTGTCATCATTTGACATGTACAGTGCAGGAATAACAGCCATGAGCAAAGTGAGGTAAGCCCTCACATTGCCCCCTTGACTAATTCAAGGGAACAGCACTACAAAACAGAAAGATTTCAAAAAAACAAGTGCAGGTTCAGCTGTTTCCTTCAGTTGTGCTCATAGTGAATGTACCAGTTAAATAAGTATTTTAAACTTAGTATGTAATTTTTTTCAGAAAGTAATTTCATTTGCTACATTTTGATATTGTGCCACTTCTCTTGGTATGTACCAGAAAATTAAAACTTGTTTGTGTGACCTGCTGCCATCATCAAAACAGACTTTTATCCTTTACCTTCCTATGACGTGGTCATAGAAGAGGTCACCTCTCTTTATCTTATCATGCTTAGGTCTTCAAATGAATTTTTAAACGAAACGTAACAATAAATACTACATGGGCAAACTTGCTTTCTATAGCTTATGATTTTCATTGAACACACAATCAGGCATGATCCTTGCCAATACTTCTATTTTTAATTTTAATTTCTTTTATTTCTGTTTTCTCTATAAACAACCTATTTTTATCTCTGTTAAGAAAACAAAAAAGATAAGTACTTTTTATCTCTAAGGCAAAAACTTGGTAACATGAAATCACAGAATCATGGAATGGATAGGGTTGGAAGGGACCACAGTGGGTCATCTGGTCCAATCTCCCTCCTCAAGAAGATCACCCTTGAGCACATTGCACAGGATTGCATCCATGGTTCCTGAATATCTTCACTGAGGAAGAATCCACAACCTCTCTGGACAGTCTGTTCCAGTGCATCCACACAGTAAAGAAGTTCTTCCTCATGTTCAGGTGGAACTCCCTGTGCACCAGTTTCTGCCTGTTGCCTCTTGTCCTATTGCTCAGCACCACCAAGAAGAGCCTGGCTCCATCCTCTTGACACCTTCCCTTCACATACTTAAAAATATTAATGAGGTCTCCTCTCAGGTGTCTCTTCTCAAGCTTGAAAAAGCCCAACTCTCATTCTTACCAGATGTTAAACTAGACTCCAACATCTCATGACTAATCTACCAACTCACTGATGGCAATCCCTCTTACCCAGCTAAAGCAGTGACATACCTGGAAGTACAATGGAGGGAACAGTTACGCTAAAAGCCTTCAGTAATTTGGGGCTATTTAAAATAGAGTATTACTTGTCCAACAGTTCATTTACTGGTTTTGTTTTTCATTCCACTGAGAAAAATGATCACTTTACAAGGAAAACACAACAACAAAGCACTGTCCTTGAATAATGGTTCATTTGTTCCAGTGATAAGGGACATCAGTTAATCCAACACTGTGTTTTCAGATTTCTGTTATTGATTTACACTTAATTTTAGGAAACAACACCACTTGTATTCCCGTATTTGTTTCAGAGCAGTTGGGAAACAAGCACAGCACGGCAACAATTGTGTTGCAGAACTCACAGCAAAATGATGGTCATCCCACTTGTAGTACTAAAAGTGGGTTTAAATCAGCACCCAGCTTTGTTAGACTGGCAAATAAGACTACAGGAAAAACAAAAAAATCCACTGGAAACACCTAAGTGCATGTGACAGCTGGAAAAGAAAAAAAAATAAAATATCCTCTAAGTATTTAATAATATATAAACATGATGTAGTGTAATTTTGAGTTGCTGTTTAGCATGAAGATTACTTAATGAAGCAAAAGAGCATAAATGGAAACTAGAGAAAAAACCCCACCACAACAGCTGTTAGGAAGCAGAGATGCACCAGCATCAAGGCGTAATAACCACCAGCCATAAGTGTGATCATACCATTCACACTCTTTTTGAATGAAGACAGGGAAAATCAGGCACACTGTGAGTTATAAATTTTTGTAAATGATCCCATTATATGGGAGAAAGCTGCTTTGGAGTTAAAGATTAGCACAATTTTTTCTAGATGACAAGGTATGAATAAGGCTCATAAGTTTGTTACAAAATGAAATATTCTTCTGCCACATTTTATGGGAAAACAGTCTGTAAAGAAGTCCACAGAATTTATGGCTTGTTCTGTATGACAGTTACAAGTTCTGACCTCTGGCAGGCCAATGACAAAAATCCCAGTAACTTCAACAGCCCTGGAGCAATTTGGTCATGTACTTATTAGCATTTCACTCAGTAAAAACGTACTACTGGCATGTCTTGCCTTGCACAATACAACGACTGTTTCCTCTGTATTGACTTCCCAGCACTCACAGAGATGACCATTCAGTATTGTAAGTTCCCTGGGGTGATAGACAAGAAAAAGCAGACAGCTCTGAAGATAGCAGCCGGCTAAGTAAGGCATGCATTGGATTACCTGAAGCCTTGTCTTGGGAGGTTTTTTTCTTTGACAAAGAGGCGTATCAAAGAGAAGTGTTCTCCCTGGAAAACGTTCCATAACTTAAGCCCTTTTACTGCACAAATATAAGGGTATCAAAACAATGTCTATGACTCTGAATAACCATCCCACCACTGTCCTTTTCTGAAAGGTTTTAGGTTTTCACTTGAAAATAGGCAACATCGCCAAAATTAAAAATTGTAGTTTACATCTTTCAATCAAAGACGATGTT